TGCTTGATATCTTTGTGTTATGGTAGTTTTTAAGAAAAATAATAACTGAGAAAAGAAAACATCATTCTTTCTTTCTGTAGATGGGTTAATTAAGATGGTACCAGCTAAGACATCAAAAAGCAATCCCAGGCAACTCAACTTGATCCTGTTGTATTAAACCAGAGGAGGATATCATCTCAAGTCTATGGCAATCACCAAGGTGACAGAGAAAAGTGGGGCAAGACCTCCATGGCATCAGAGACAAGGATGCTGATGCTGCTTTCCACATACCATAAAAGCAGTGAGGAGGATCCTACATTTCAGAATTAAGCTCTGTAGTTTGATCTGTGAAGGCATCAATAAAACAAATGATATTTATGTGCACAAATAGAGAATAAAAGGTCTCCTTTTACTATCTAGATTTGTGATTTGATAAAACATTTTCATTTTAGTCAATAGCTGAAGTATAAACCTTAAATATTGAGCTGAATTTGATTTCTTCTCTGACAATATCACTCATTCTTAGTGCTCTAAAGAAGGATACAAACAACTTTGGGCCACTTGTTCCACCAAGGCATCACAATCAGAGTTTTCTGCATCTTTTCATCAACTTGTGATCCTATCCACAACACAACAGATAGCAACCAAGAAATGATGATGAGTTATGTTTCTTCTCGCACCACCTCATAGAGTTTTAACAGTTACGAGACTAGCAATTATGGGATCTAAGAAAGAGGAGGAAGTTCTAGTTTTTAACAAGTAAAACAAAATCTATTGATTGATAAAAAATATATGTATAAATTATTCCATCAAGATTCAAACACCATGCAACTTATTTATATTTTACTATTAATTTTTTTAATATTTAGTAAAACTAATTATACCATCAAGATAAACTGTCTTGGGTCTAAAGGTTATCACGGTTCCATAATCACACACCAATTCTAATTCTAATTGCCATTTGATCCATCAATTTTGATTGATAAAAAAATAAATTATTCTCTCATGATTTAAACTCAAATCATTAATCTGTAAATTTGAAGTACTAACCATGGAACTTGTTTATGTTTTACTCTTTTGTTTTCATATTCAGTAAGTTTGAAAACGTCGGTCTCAATTTCAATTCTAATTTCTAGGAATCGAAACAAAACTATATAATTCCTTTCGGTTCAGAACTGTCAATTTCGATTCGAATCGAACCCTATGCACCCCTACTAATGTCACCTATGCATACAACAATAATAAAATCAAGAAAAAATATTTTTGAATTGCTGACATGCAAAAAGATCAAGTATTCTGTTTCACATATGGCTGCAAGAAACCAGAAAAAAGAAAGAAATAATGATGTATAGCAACGAAGAGATGTCGAGAGCTCTTATATCATGCTCCAAGATGATTCAAAACCTCGAATTACATGCAACACCAGCATTTAGATGCTCATCATTGATTGGCGAAAAACACAAAAAAGTTGGTCCAACAACTGCTTACACAATCATACTCAACATCAAAGTTGGACCGATGGCACCTCCATGTTTCCAGTGATCTATTGCTGCCAGATGTGATAGATCGGTATGTGTATCTGGGTACAGTGTTCTTGTCGAGTTTAGTGCTGATGATGTCAACTGAGCTTCACCAATGTCCACATAAGGATTCCAAGGTGAAAGGACCAGCGGCAACTCCATTGAAGGGCCCAAGGGGATATTAGACCAGCATCTTCTGCGAAATAATCATCATGCCAAAATCCGGGCAACTATGAACCGATCAGTTAAACAAGGCACAGATGCCAAAATGTGATCCACTAAGAATAGAATACAAATCACTGCACTAGGGGCTTTCTAAGAGCACTATCGATCTGCAGAAGAATAATTTAGCCGAAATTAGATTAACACAACATAAGAAAAGGAGAGAGCAACAATTTTTATATCAGAGAAAATGATAAGTTACTGTTAGTATCGGATTTCTTTTCCTTCTACGGTGGATGGACCTTAGCATGTTTACCAAAATGTAATCCAGAATTTAGTAATCAAAGAATTACAAATTCCAGTTCACCAAACTACTATTTTTTAAGGGGCTCAGAACAGAGTCATCCAAAAACAAATAATTAAGTGTCAAATCCAACATATTTTGGTGACATCAACTAACAGTCGGTCACTTCAGCTTGCCACTCGATTCAAATTCAAACTTAGAGCCTAACAAAGCACCACTAACTTTACCCCAAATTCACTAAATCAAATATTCGTATGAGAAGTCTTCAGTGAACCAAAGAAATGACACACTAAGATACATAATCAAATTCCAGACACTAGTAGCACAGTAGCTGGTCCACAAGAACGCTAGCTGACAAAATTATTTAACCCTCTAAAAGAAGAGAATGAAGACGAACATCAATTCTGCTAACTTAATATACAACTTCACTTTTGGCTTCAGTTTATGATCTAGCCCCGGGCCTGAACAAAACAATGTCGTCTATAAAATGTTCGAGGTCTGGATGGTCTACATGAAAACCCCAAGTCAGGTATCAAACAATTTGATAATATTCTCATGCACTGATTGCAATTTAGAAACATGGAAAGATAAATTGCTCAAGAACTGTACAAATAAAAACTGCTAAAAAAAGGACTTACATCTATACCATGAAAAGATCTACCAATGCATGATTTAAGTTTTGGAGCTTCAATTACTGGAGAAGAGAGACCATCATGAACAATCTGTTTGTCACCCTGCCAGCAGAAATTAGATATTAAATGTAATCTATCTTATAAAGACATGGCAGGCATGGAGTAAGATTTTTTACAATATAACTTGAATTTATGGACTTATGGATAACTTCCAATAGAAAAAGCACAAAGGGAGCTCATGTTGATATCAACATATACTCAGAATAGTTCCTTTCTGTAACATTGAAAAAAAAACTAATAGAACACACTACTTTGGCAAAAACACAGGCCTACACCAGCAATTTAAGCTGGTAATTTTAGCATATTATTATTTTAGTTATTATTCTCCTACAAGTCCCTTGTAGTTCCCTCTTGATCCCTTACTGAATCAGATTACCATATACATGTCAGGATTAATTGTGTCTGTCCATGCAACACCATCAACAAGCAGCTTAAAGTTGCAAGGAATATATGAAACTGGAACATGCAGAAGCATTGACTTTTGCAGCAAACTTATGTATAATCGTTGAGCATACCTCAGGCATGCATCGTTTATCTTGAGCATCCTCAAAAAGGGAGGAGTAATACGTTGGATCATAGATGGCACCTCCCAAAATCTCATCAGAATTGGAGTTCTGCCTAGCTACATCATGTGTTGAAGGGTTCACAAAACTATTTCTGACACTGTAATCTGCATGGTTGATAGGATTGTCCACAGTTGAAACCCCCAATCGATATATCTGAATCCATAAGAATGTGGACAAAAACCTCACTGAAAAGCCAACAATTTCCATCAACAAAGCAAGTCTGAGTGAGAAGACAAAAAGTTGCCCATACTTCTGATCAGGAGTGACGTTCCTGTAATGATATATATTACACCAAGAAAAGAATCAACATGAAAGGATATTGTATAAAACAAATACTGAAAATGAAAAAAAAAGTTTTGGTGTGACTTTGCATGTAACATTAAAATGTCTTAACATGCAGCATTGAAGGCATTCAAATTTCTGATATACTGATAGAGATTGAGGTTACTTCATATCCCAAATGATGCATTTGAGATGTATCAAGCCTGTGATGAGACAAACATGGTATATTCATATATATCAAACAAATTTAATGAGAAGGATTACTAGCAAGCAAAGTCCTATCTCCAAGGAGAAAAATATGAGAAATGAAACATGGATACATATACAAAATACTGATATGATATGATACTGATATATGGATAAGAGAAAACTTGGGGAAAAGAACAAATTATGGGTGTAATGTGTGACAATGTTTGATAGGTATTCATACTTAGAATAGATAGTTATATATCACTATTCATGATAAATAATAAATAATGAACCAGCATCCCTTATTCATCATGAATTATAATTAGAAACATAGTATGTTGAGAATATAGAAAAATAAAGCAAGTACTTATAATAAATAAAGTTATATCAGTCTTTTAATTTTATTACACATTGATCCTTATTACAAATAACATGTAAAAATTATTTAACCATGCATCCTTTTCTATAATCATATATCAATATTTAAATAGATAAAGTTCTCGCAAAAAGTACATCCTGAGTATCATGAAATTATCTGATATTTTGATAAACTAATTGGATAATTCCTTGAAGTATACAGAAACAATCCTAGAAATATTGTATCTGACATGTACTGGAGACTAATATGACAAGCAATTTGTAGAATCCATCTTTTAGATATAAAAAAGATGGAAGTTAGGCTTCTAGCTGTACAACGGGATACTGATAAAGAAATGTTATCTCATTCAAGCAAATCATATGGTGTACACGAGCTTGCCAGAAGAACAATAGTAGGAGACTCCCGACATCAAAAAGTGGGGATATTAGAAGCAATGTATATCCTTTGAAAGAGAGGATTTTGAAGCAAAATATGGATAAGATTTCAACCTGCTCTCTCTCGTTGAAATTCAAATTTGGAAGGAAAAAGACATTGTAAAGTCTGATCACAGATCAAAAGTAGATGGATAGAAAAGGGTGTTCGTGTTGGTAGTCATATGCCATATATTGCTAGGCAAGTCATATCACCAATATAATTCTGTGATCTCCATATTCAGAACATGATTTGGATCATTCCCATGTCCAAAGTTGATCTCCTTGGTGGGTATAACAAATAAGCTTGTTGTCGTTTCAGAATCTCTAGTAGCTTTTATATGCTCTATGCATTATTAAATCATGTTGACAGCTAATTTTTAGAATTACTTCATCTTGAGTTTTTGGTGACTTTGTTTTTAACAGGAAATTAATACTTTGCTGCAACAATTAGCCTCTAAAGGAGCCAAATCCTTCTCGATACTTTTGAATATGTGTCAGAAACTAGCATCCGAGAGATAAGCTGAGATATCTTCCTTGCACTCAACAAGTGACATATAATTTAACTCATCTACCTTGGACCTACCATTAATATCTACACCCATGCTTTATTAATAGATGTCTATGACTCTCACCATATCGTGCGCGAGAAAAGTATGAACCACGCGATGTCGAGCACAATAGCGAAGAATAGAAGTACTGCATAGGTCCTCCCGAGGCTCTGACTGCTGCTCTCGATCGCCACTAGTGCAAAAAGCGCCACCACCAGGTTGATCAGCAACACCCCATTGTACAATGCCCCGAGCGATCCGATCAGAGCACACCCAATCTAAAACCACGACAACAAACACATGAATATAAAATGCCTTCCATCCCTTCCAGCTTCATTGCAAAGACAAAACGGTTGCTTAATTCAAAACCTAATCAAAATCAAAACTACAAATAACCTCTTACCTTAACCTAAAACCTACAATAGAAAATATTTGGAAAAACGAACGAAATCCTAAAAAGTTTGCAAGAAAGAAACCCTAGCGACATGAATTGGAATTTGCCGGAGGAGACGGAGTTGCTTACTTGGATGTAGATGAGGATGACGGCGACGGACTGAAGACGATCGTAGTCGCGAAGCCACGACTGAATCCGCAATCGGAGCGACGTCGAACACAAGGGCATGATACAAAAATCTCACGGAACACAAACAAACAAGGAATCGCCCGATCCCTTTCCGGCCGTCCGCTGAAGAACCAAATCAAATCCCAAAAAAGCAGCCAGTGGGGTAACAAATTGAATGCCGGCCAAGAAGGGGATTCACTTCCTTCTATATTCTTTCTGGTTCTCTCTCCTATGGGAATCGAGAAAGATCGGCAATTTGGTGTTCCTATTTTGGGCGTCGAATACAACGATCGTCTCCGATCCATTACGTGAACGGGCGACGAACGGCGTTGGGGTCGAGCTGGCCGTGTGTGCGCACTCCTCTCTCATTCGAGCGCGGTTAACCGAGCCGGGATTGATCGAGTCGATCATTCTCCAATTTGACTTCAAATTAGATTCGAGCTCACTTGTCACGTAATCGACCGCTCCATCGAAATCCAAGCTTAATAGAATATTAAGTAAGTTTAATAGAATTATTAATATCAATTATAGTATGAAATAAGTCAATGATAGAGTTTAAATTAATCGAAACATAGGAACGTTAACTATGGGGGGTTATATATGTAATTTTGTCAAAACAAATCACCACCGTCCATCTTCTCCAAACTTGCCCTTTAGAGAGCCGCCGCTGCAAAGTGATTCGGGGAACCCAAGCAACGACTCGATCTTATCCGAGCTGGTGGCGGCCGTCTTGTCCTCCGCCGCGGCGGCCGCGGGGCGAGCTCGACCATCGAGGCCGTTGCCTCCCATGCGGGCTCGTCCGCGGCGGTCTTGCGTCCTCTCCTCTTTCGTCTGTGTGCCGCTCGCGTGTGGGGAGAGGTGACGGCGCCACCGCGATGGCGACTGCCTGCGGTCGGAGCACATTTTTTCCTCTCTTCTCCCTCGGGAGGAAGAAGAAGGTCGTGCGATGACGTCCTCGTGGGTTTCCCCCAACCCAAGTCACCTCCGGTTTTCTGCTCCTCTTTTCCTGCCTCTCTCTTGTTGTTTCATGGATTGATTCAAAACCCGATTTTTCAAGATTTTACTTTGTGTTTTTTGATTGATGTAGACTTTTTGACTGCCAGACAGTGACACTGTTGATTGCGGTAAAATTTTCTTTTATGTTGCTCTTGATTTGTGCTTATATTTTGTGAGATGTTTTCTTTGGCATGCTATTTTGGATTTGTAATGCTATTAAATTTCTTGGGATTCCTTTCTGTTTATTAAGATTATAATTTGAATAATTTAACTTGGTTATAGTAACAACAGAAGAACATTGTTTTATTTCAGAATGGAATTTCATATTGTAAGTTTCGAGCACCAAGTAAGATTTGATTGTTCGGTCTCCAGAGATAGGAGGTTGTTTTAGAGGTCGAGCTTATGAGTTAAAGATTGCTCTTTTTTTTTTTTTGGTTTATATTATTATTTTGCTCTAGTTGATCAAAGCAGGCTGTTTTGGAAGAGAAGGTGCAATATACTCGAGTAAGGTGTTTTTCAGGTGTGTTTTTCAACTTCCTACTGTATTGTGTTTCATTTTTTATTTTTTTCTTGATGCACTTGGTCCATTTTATTGTAAAGATTACTGTGGTTCTGTTCAACAAAATATATTACACCAAGAGTCTATATATGATGTGCGGAATGTTGTTGGAATGACTGTATTTTATGGTTACTAGCAAGATGGGATTGCTTGAGTGGAAACAGACCTTTCATGATTTTGAATAATGAGAAGTTGGAGACTCATTCAAAGAGATGGTTTAAGTGAAGGAATTCTTCATTATCTTGGTTTCTGATAGCTGAGATACTCAGGGAGGGTCTTGTATATGACCAGGCAACTTGTTTGACTTTTGATTGAACAGGTGGACTGAAAAGTGTTTCTCGTTAAATAGGAGTTTTGCTGAATGCATCTTAATATTTAGGGGATTATATTGTGATAAGCTGTTGAGCTTTTTTAAAAAATAGCTCAGCACTTTCTTTTCAACTATATTTCTTAAATTAAAAAAAAATGAAGTATTACTTCTATTGTAACACCATAGCATGACATTGATGGAGCAATAATTAGGATATTTGTCTTCTAACTAGTCAGCAAAAGCATGGTGAGAAAAATATAAGAGTGAGAAAGCAGTTGGTCTGATAGGCACCATGAACTAAGGGTGTTCAAATCAAATCGAAAAATCGAATCAAACCGGAATCGAATCAATTTAAAATTGGTTCGGTTCGAATCGGTTCACCAATGATTCGGTGTTGAAGGCTTAAAAGGTTTTGGTTCGTGATACCCTTCTTTGGTTTGGTTAACTGGTTCAAACCGAACTGAATTGATTTTAATTTAAAATATATCAATCTGGCTGAGTTCACTGCCCTAAGCCATTAATTGGTTCAAATCGATTAATTAAACCGGCTCAAATGCCTAATTTTACAAATAATGTGGGCTCAATTTCATAAATATTATCGTATCGCTCAATTAGACCAAGATTTTGATTTCGGTTCAATTGAAAGATATACTTTTTAAATTACTTGAAGTTATAAATTGGTTAAATGGTTCACCGAATTGGATTAACTGGTTTTGAATCAATTCGGCTAGGTAGATCCAAATCGGTTCCTGTTTGAACTATCTTTAACTGACTCGAACCAAAAAAATGGTTCGATTTGGTTTGGCCCTTAATTGTCCGATTTGAATTGATTTGAACACCCCTACCATAAACAATGAGAAATTACTAAAGAGACTTAAGGGTGATGCTTGTGGGTTTAGGAGGAATTTCAAAAGATAGTTCAAGAAGAGGTTTCCTTGTACACTCATGTGGAAGGCTTTGTACCATTATGAGGTTGATCATTGTGTTCCTGGGCATATTTCAATAAATTTTGTTCTACAAAGATTTTTGAGAAAGATATAGGTGCTTTTTCCCCTTCCTTTAAGGAAAATGGAGATCATTGGCCCAGAGGTGCAAAAGCATGGATAATTGGTATACATTTTGCAATTTTCATATCTTGCAACAGGCCTGGGCTTGTATAATTTCTCTTGTTGCTACCGATCTTTGCTTCGTGAAAGATAAAGGGCAACCATTTTCCCTTAGCTATTGAACTATTAGTCATATCGCCAAGAAGTACTTTATATCATTGCCTGCGCTTTTGGGTCACAAGAACATATCTATATATGAGTGATAATTTTACTCTAACCTCTAGTCAATTAATTGAATAAAATATGAAATGTTGTGAAAGTGTGTATTTCCTTTTGGAGAACTACATTAATAGCTAATGTTAATGCTACATTTTATGCACAGATGGGCTAAAATTGACAGATATAGAAGGTCACCCAATGGAAATTAGACTCAACATGAAGCACAAGTTCCTTTTCAGCACAGAGGAAGATTCTGGGACTCAACAGTGTTGCTGCATGTGTTTTCTCTTGTAGTTGGATCAAACTTTTAGAAACAAATATGTACTATAAATGATTTTTTTTATTGTCCTTTAGCCTCAAAAGAGAATGTTATCTTGGTATGTGATGATAAGACATTTGGATGTTTGTTCCAATGTAAGAGGTCTAATTTATGTTCTGAAAGTTCAATTGTTTCCTTGCCTTGCTCCCTTTTAACAATCTGACTGTTGGTTTGTTTTGTTTTTGGTCAAACATTGATGAGACATTTGGTAGGTAAATTGCATTTTGGCAACATGGTGAAGCAAGATATATTCCATTGTGCAACAATAAGATAATTCCAGCAACATAGCTACAAATTGTAATAAAGTCTCCAAGGCCTCATCGCTTTTATTTTTTTTCCTCAAACCAATTTTATATAGACATTTTTTCCTCAAACTAGTAAGATGAGTTCTCCATTGTATGAATCACTTGCAATGATCACAAAGCTGTTTTGCTATATGCATCACATGCATTTCCAAGTCAATGTAGCTACTACAATGATTCTAAACCTAATAATAGATTTTCATATGTTAGTAATATAAAGTGATCAATATATGGTTGATGAAATATAGTAAACTTTCCTATGTTATGCCAAGTTTAGGAAAAAGGGGGAAATAATACATTGTACTGATCTAATTGAGTAGAACAGTTGGAAAAAAGTGGTGCACAAAAGTCTCTGCTTCATTGATCTTTGATGAATAAAGATTTTTGGAGAGAACTCAGCAGTATACTATATTCATTTATATCACAAAAAATAAACATTCTGCTAAATGTGAAGTAGTAGAAAGAGTCATCAGCTACATGGTGCCACATATATTTCACATATAGCAGCCATTTAACATCATGGAGATGATAAAATCCACATTATTTGGTTTCCGACCAATGTGGCCATATTGTAGCTGTTACAACAAGATCATAACAGGATGAAATTTGAGAGATATTAACAGTGTTCCTCTCCTAATAAGTGAGCAACTATAATGATCCCACCTGTTAATGTCCTACTGTTCTCAGACATCTGTATTTAGAATACAACAGTTTATCCTCTCACTACACAAAAGTTCCAAGATCTGAAAAATATAATGTTGCCATCTCTGTTGAGTGGGATGAAAAATAATGTGAAGACTATTACTCTACTCGGTGATCATGTCCTAAACAACATGCTTATCATCCTATCTTTGTGTATTGAACTGAGAGAATCGCCTTGATCTGTGTACTTTGAGCCGAATTGCTGGAACTTTTCTTGCCACTGCCTGCCATATCATCTGAATGGCATCATTTTTCTTAGACGGGTACTGAAATTCGAAGAAGCCTTCGACCTCCTTCAACCTTTGCCACATCCGGGTCCAGTCCTCTCGACTTACTCCTCTGATTAATTTTATTAGAAAACCCTCTCTGATAGCATCAGATGTGCGTACAAAGATGCAAAACTTGGAATAGTCAAGTACATCTTCATATGGGAGCTCGATATCGTCACTGATGATGACTGGGACACAGTGGCTAGCTATGGCATCAAATAGTCGGTTGGAAGATGGCGTGTCCCCAGCAATATTTAGACAGAATTTTGCAGAATGCATCCCTCGACTGGCCTCGTTTATCCCATTAGCAACGACACTTCCAAATGAAAAGTGTACATCTTTTTCATCCCTTAGAAGATAAAATAACTCTTGTCGGATCGATCCTCCCTGCACACCAAGCCACGAAAACGGATAATGAGCCTTTTTTTTGTGAACTAAAGCAGACAAAAGCAATCAGTTTCATATGAAGCACTATATCTAGAATATCATATAATAGGGTTCTATTTCTCAAGGTATATTCAAGATGCCTGCAAATTTAATGTTTAAAATGTTCTAATGGCAACTAGAACAAGAAGCGGAGAACCATAATGACAAACAAATCAATAATTTAGCATCATCTTTGTTGAACAACCATGAAAAAATTTAGTATAGCCAGCTCTGGCAGAGAATGGGAAACATAAGAAAAATGAATTTAAGCATGCTTTTATAGAAAGCTATCACCCACAGACTAGATTTCAGGAATATACTTTACATATTCTGAGAGGACTTGAATTGGAAATTTTAATAATGTACTGACAGGATTTGTCTTATGCTAAACTGCCAATCATGCATTAATTTTCATTCCAAAGAGAGGATTTTCTTTTTCTAAATAAGCAAGAAAACCTGTGACTATAATTGTTAGGAATACACAATATACAATACAATAGCTTATTGAATGGTAAATTCACCATTCAGAAATTAGATCAGCTGAAACTTATCATGATAACAGGTATTGTTTCAATAATCATATTCTGTGTTATTGGGCAATGCAAAACCTAATGATTGAAAAACAACTCAAGTAAATTCAAGCAGAAGTTGACCACATCTGTAGGTATAAGTGACAGACAAACACATGAAAATTTATCACACTTTGGAATTTGGATCCTCCTCCTAGTTATACTGCCTATTTATGGATCTTAATCATCATTGGTATATATACCTTCATTATCACAGAATAACGGTGCAGAGCGAGAAAATTATAGCAATAATTTTCAATCTTGAAGCTTGTCCAGTTAGCTGGATTGTATTCCTCAAAGCCACTGCTGCATGTAAATTCACAGTCATGCACTTGGTTCACATTGACCTAAATAAAACCTATAAGATATATCACAAACTTCTTTTTTTGTTCTGATATAAGTAATCAACCATTAAGGTGTTCCCCTGTGAATAACAATGTCCAACCAACAGAAATCCTTCATTTGTTTTGCAACTCTTCTTCCATACTCTCTATAAAATTTTTCTCACTGGAGTGACCTCTACTCCAATTCTATGAATTAGTCATGCCGCTATGGCAATTTTATAGAATATTTAGATCTCCAAACACCAAACAACTACCAACATCTTCAGCAATATTTTGGGCTTGCTGAACTGTGCTACCCATAACCATGATGACATATTTTAAGGATATAAATGTGGAATTCTACCAAGTTGGTTTGCTGCTTGTTGATATAAGACAAAATACATTTTTGAGGATGCAGTTAATTTTTCCAGGAGTGTTACAAGGAACTTAATGTGACCTTAAACATGAAAGAAAAAAAAAAGCACTTTAGATTGATTTTTAAATGAAAACTAGAATATAGATCGCTGCAGTAGAAAATGTATTTCATGCATAACATGAAAAGTCAATAGGTGCTTTAAAATATTAAAGCAATATGATAGACTTTACTGATCTGTTCCTCCTGTTCCAACCACACATTACAATGTGTTATAGTGGTTGTGTATGAGACTAAGAGGAGTATCCTCAGGTAAATTGCTTATATACCACAAATAATATTTAAAAGCATGCTCTTACATGTTCAAGTAAAAAACTAATTTTGTCAGGTAATATTTCCTACCTAGGTTTCAAGTGGATGCTCCATGGATATTACATATAGCGAGTGCTGTTGAGTGGCAGAAACAGGCTGTATTAGGCCTTGATAAGGTACCTTGCAAGGATATCCATCTACAAAAAGGTTAACCCTCCTTAATGGTAACCTAAAATTGCTCAATTGAGCTCATAATGCTTGACCTCACCATAGGCACAAAAAGATACAGCCAGTGTGTTCTTTTGATAATAATAGTGCATCAGATGAAGGAATTTCTTTGGAAACAAGCATGCAATTACAAGAAAAAACCAGGGGCACCCCTATCTAACAAACTTAGGAAAGTGATCTAGCTGTTGAAAGTTATTTCTCTTATTCTCTGTTCCTTGGTGCATGTAGATTCATGTAAATACACATTATTTCACCTATCATCTGGACTTAGGATAGTGAATTGGCTCTTCAAGAAATTGTCTGCTAATTCACAAAAACTTGGGTGTGCTGAATGGCAAACCACTACTCATGCTCAATCGCAATCAAAAGAGGCCATTTGAGATAATAAAGATTATAAAAGATTTCTGTCTCGAATAAGTCACTTGGCAAATCAAAAGATATGCCACCACTTGATGTGCAAAATCAAATACTTCTGATGAAGTTCAATATGCTAGGTAAAAAAAAAAAAGATACCATCAAGTGATGTCTGTGGCAAAGCACTTACATCTTTCCTGTAGATAGCTCCTTGAAAGTACAATAATGTAGGGCGTTCATCAAAGCCAGATGAGTCATTAACGAATGTCTTGATCAGATGCCTGTAGGGAGCAATTACATCTTTCTCCACATTAGCTACGCGGGGAGCATACCGGCCAAAATCTGCAAGAACAAACATGCCAGGCCACAATTTCGACCGAGCATCTAACATGCTGTTTGGATGGTGTGCCATTATGATATGGTCTCTCCCCCCTGATCTTTTCCATTCCTGTTGAGCTGTTAAAAACTGCACCAGCTTCTGCTGCAACAACTTGTTTATACTAACTGTTTGAGGTGGCTTGACCTTTGAATGCCGATTGTAGCTCAACGATGAAAAGAAAGGCACAAACACAACATCAGCTTCTCGGGAATCCTCAACCCTCGCCGCACTGCATGGGCCACTCCGGTTGGGAAATCTTGAAGACAAGAGATCCAAAGTCAGCCAGTACTCAAGACTATGTTGAAGATTCAATCCACCAGGATACTTTGGGATTTTGGTCTGTATATCAGGCCACACACTCTTGCCATCACCATCCCAACCCAAAAGACCAAAGTGGAACTCAGGAGGCAAATCATACATGAAAACCTTCAAAAGCGCTTTGCTTGGATGACATCGCTCGGGCTCTTCATCTGTTGCTCCAAATTGATCCAAGAAAGACGGCTCCCTGAACGACGAAGGTTCAGCATCATGGTCTCTTGCAGGGATACCTCGGTTCTCAATCACGGAAAAGATCTTTTCTTTTGGCAATACATGGTTGACTACTGGTTTTCCAGCATAATCCCAGAAGAAGAGGTAGGGCAGGACCAGGATTATTGCAAAGGAGAGACTAAAAAGGAAGCGTTTCCGGCACACATGCCCATATTGTTGTATGTTTCTGTTGGCCATTCAGCACAAACCTCCGAAAAGATGCCTAATTTATCAGAAAAGCATCCAGCTTTATCAACTCAGGAACAAAGAACAGCGGCCAAGACTAATAAAAATACAAAATTATACCGAATGGAATTCCTTCTTTATGGTAACAACCGCAATTCCTCGACGAACTCAAAGAACATGAAGCTAAGGATAAAGATCAGCCGGTCAAACAAAAAGGTTCCGGGATTTGATTCCCAAATGTAGACATTCCTCAACAAGGAAACAGGCCGACGACTAAATGTACCCGGACAACTATTCAAACGAAAAGAACAAGTATTGGGGGAGAATAATCTAGAGAACATGAACAATTATCCAAATGCTCTCCGAGAACCTCGGTCCAAACTAAAAGGTCACCGTACGCGCCCGACCCAGAACCACTTCTCAATCATAGATGAGCACAAAGGCCACATTTTGATGATCGAACTCGAGCCAAAGAAACCTAAAAAGATCAAGTCCAGTCCAGTAGAACCAAATCTTAGGCAAAGGAGCTGAAATATTTATCTTAGATCCACTGAACCGAGTGAGGGAAGGGAGAAAGAACCATCGGGGTCGAGCTCTGAAGCTTGTCTTCGCACCGCGGGATCTCTCTCTCTCTCTCTCTCTGGATCTTCTGTCAATGCCCGACGGCCATCAGAGACTGTAATAAACCGAGGAGACTATAAACGATATTATTTATATTGACCATTTCATAGTTTACATATTAATTTCGGACGAAGAGAGAGGGATTTTTATATGTGGATTAGTAGTTGCTAATATTATTACAACCACATTTTAGCTAATAATAATAAGTAGATTTTATAGTCTTTTGTTTGTTTAATCTCAAAGGGAAAAGGTTAACCTTTTTTATTGCTTTATTATTACATAATATAAACAATAACTTGATATTTCAGAGGATGAGCTTTCTAACCATCAAATTTCGTGTGGATCATGATTTTTACGAACGAGCACGCATCTTGAGGTGCAATCGAGTCCAAGAACATTGCTTACCACACGGGCAGTCCGGTCCGTTAGGATCGGGTGCGCTACAACGCCGTCATCAGACGCGGCTCCGATCGGACCCCACCCGGCTCATTAGGATCGCGTTCGCAACAAGCCGGTTTATCAAACCCAACCGCGATCTGTCCCGACCCGGCCCACCGTCCGGGTCCATCGAAACGGGACTTCGACACGGCCTCCTCCGCCCCATCTCGATCCTTCGCCTCTTCCTTCGTCTTCTTCTTCTTCTTCTTCTTGGAGGTGGTGAGGGGGAGAGGAGGAGGAGGAGGAGCATCATGTCGGTGCTTCCGGACGAGATATGGGCCCTAATCCTGGAGATGGGTACTGCCTTCGGCCGCCTCACCTACCGCGACCTCTGCGCCCTCGCCATCGCCTCCCGCCGCCTCAACCGCCTCGCCCGGGACCCCGCCCTCTGGGCCACTCTTCTCGCCCTCGACTTTCCCGCTGGCCGACATGAGCCCCACGACAAGGCCACTTCGGTCAAATCCCTCTACCGGATCAGGTGCGCCCCCCTTCCTCTTCTCGTGGACGAGCTACTTAGGTCTGGGCCTTGACGTGGGATTGCATCCGCGGCAGGTTCGAGAGGGACAAGGCGAGGCAGCTCGCCGCCGCGAGGCGCGCGGTGCTCTATGCGGAGAGTCGTGTGGCTGCTTCACGGAAGAGGCTGGAGGAGTTGGAGTCGTCGTTGGCACGCGAGGGCAAGAGGCTGAAGGCCGCTGTATCTGAGTTAGCTGATTTGGAGAGAGCAAGGTGCTCAAACTGGTTTCTCGATCAACATGCTATTCTTTGAATTGCTACTTCTCTCTGGTTCAGTGATCACTTTTTTTTTTTTTTGCTTTATTTTTCATGTTATTTCATGGTAATTAATTTGATTACTTCAACCACTGCTTCTAGCTAAAAATAGCAATTTGCATGAGGTGGAGGATAGCATGAGATCTTGTAAAAATTTGGTGGATGTACTGTATTTTAACATCTTTAGAACAATGAAGCCAGAAATTGCATGTGACCAGAGGTTACAGAATCTTGTCTTTTTATTTTCTTGTTCCCTTTTCCTTTCTTTGATTCTTAGCCTTTAAGGTGAATTAGGTCCTTGTGGTTCACAATAAGTTTAGTTCATAATCACCTGAAACATGGAATGTTATGGGCCATGGTTCAGACATGGGCATGAATACATTGCTTGGCTATGTTTGTGGTGCTTGGAAAATTTTCCTTAGTAAAGCATAGGTTATTTGCTACATTGGATAAGGTATTTTGGTCTTACAAGTCAATTATCTATGCATTAATTGGCTGATAGTAGGGAATAGTTACTAGAACTTAAGTTGTGATGTGTATGTGGTATGTTAAATGAATTGATGCTATGAAAAGATCTATTAAAAGTTACTCTGAGAAAGAATATGGACATTGCTTTGGCATATGAATGCCCTTTTATGATTCTTCATGAATGACCACTTAGGGTGCACCTAGAGCACGAAAATCAAATAGTATGTTTGAGTGGCCCGTCAATTCTCTTGTTTATATCCTTCATTGACCAAGAGAAGTGGCTTTTATTTGTGATATCTTTGATCTTGTGAGTGTCTCATAGGAGTACTTGTGGTGAATGGGATGAAAAAAAGGATCGTATGTTCTTCACTCTTTGCTGCTTTTTATTTTTTTTCCCTTCATCACATTTGTGTTATTGCTCCCTTAGGTGAGTCAAATTATTGTTTGGATTGTTAAAATGGCAGTGGATGTAGTTGCATCTCATCTTTAAGTCTTTATCATCCTAGAAGTGTTCAAATTGCTTTGTCAGGATGTGCCCTTGCATTTTCTATAGGCTCCGGAAGACCTTGGTGATGTGCTTTGTGCCTTTGACAATCTTGTTTGCTGCTAATAGTGTAGTCCAAGAGCATAGAACAAAGTCATCTATTTGGATCATAGGATGACTGTTTCAAACGTTTCTTGTAATTCTGATTGTTAAGTTATTGTACTGTTCTTTTCCCATCATTTTTATGGTTCATATGAAGTTTCTGCTCAAAATCAGGATTGTTTTAGATATTGCAAGTATTTTATTGTAAATTTGATTTTCTGGATCATCTTTTTTTCTTAAAATAAGACTGATATATGAAATTGAAAGTCATCCTAAAATCTCAAGGTACCTAAACGGCTGGAGATTAGGCATCATTAACTTTTGAAGATGAATTGTTATTTGGAAAGTTTGTAACTTACAAATATTGCATGTGTTTATGGAAACCTTTGATGAGTTGGTTTTTTCAGGACGGCATCTGTTGCTCTAAATGTATGGCAGCCACAAGTAGTTCGTGGGAGACAAAAGCAGATAGTTGAGCAATGCACTGTGCCAGTTGAATCTCGCCTTGGTGCTTTAAAGATGGAAATTAAAGTTTGTAAGCAACAGATTGCTATTTTTAACAAGGCCTATGTATGACTCTATTTTTCATGTCACCATTTTTCAGTTACAGCATTGTAACTCTTTAGCCTTATTCTGTTTTTATTGATATATTTAACAGAATGAGGAGAAGAAAAAGCTGAGTGAGTACAACGAAGCACTGACTTCACTGAAGTATCACCCCCTAAGAAGTAATTTTGATTCGACCATCAGACATTCTAACAAGCAAAAAAGGCTCAAGCAAAGTAGTGACTGTAAGACCATTCTTTCTTGAATGTGCTTATTTTTTTCGAAAGTAAAACTGCAGCACAGCAAGCTTATTTTATTGACACTGTAAAACAAGTACAGAGAAAAAAATAAGTTAAAAGAGAAAGGATTACATCATGGAGGTGAGGCTTTCCCAAGAAAAGGTTTATCAGTGGGAGTAACATATTTCTGATAACCATAAACTGGGAACAACTTCTAGTAACATTAAGTGGTCTTGCTTTCTAGTATTATTAAGTAATTTTTTTAACTAGATGGATACGAGAACATGACAATAATGTTCAGGGATCGAATCCGATGTATTTTCTAAGGTGCTGGCTAGGTTGGCTAGACATCTAAAGACTAATATATTATCGTAAGATCCAGTGCTTGAATCTCGCATTCACCATTTATACTTTGCTCATTAAAAAAAAAATGCAGCCTTCTCCACTTACTGCTTGCCAAAAATAAAAAGTCCAAGCATCTTTCAACGCAATCCTCTTATTCATATTAGATTCTTTTATGTTGTCAATTTGGCTTTTTAGGATGGGGACGTGAGATTTTTTTACGTTTTGTGTCAATTAATCTTTATTGCTGATCGTGGAGGATTTCAAGTCTCCAATGGCAGAAATTTTTTACATTTTTTAGAATATATGTGAATCTTATCATATACATGGAGTTGGATTCCCTGAATCAGTCACTAAGAACACAGAGGTAGCATTCCAATGTTAGACTAGTTTAACAAATTAAATTTTCAGATAGCTTTATTTATTTATAGATAATATTTATAGAATCCTGATTGAACGTGAAGGTAATATAAAATGTTCCTTGTGATTGTAATACCCATTCTAAATGAATATTGTCTACTCCCATTTCTTTTGTTGTTTTCACCTTTATCTTGAAGAAGCATGTGCATTATTGATTAGAAAAATGTTTACTGCTGCAGTGAAATATGGTGATGGTCCAGTTGAGCAGGAAAGGGTAGAGAGCCTCCCTAACAAAAGCATTTAGCTTGGCTTGGACAACTATTGAACCGCACAGTTGGCCTCTTCAAGTTTGAGTTGTACTAACCTGCCCACAAGATCTGCTACGAAGTCGCAGCTTGATTACTGTCCGCCTAGATTCTGGAAGCCTGCTACGAAGTTGCAGCTGGGTGCTGTAAAGCTATTATAGAGGAGTGGACCAACAGATTGCTAGAATCTGCAAAACCTAGTCCTCAATGTTGCTGTGAGGGTCTTGAACATTGATGGATAAATTTCAAGACACATTTGATAGATTAAAAAGCTTTGCCGATAAATGGTTAGCCTGTCTGATGGTAATTGATGAAGAGCAAAAGCTTTTGGTTGAGAACTACATCATTATACTGCAGTGTGCCATCTGAGTTCAATAGGAGCAATTCTAATCCCTTGTATAAAAAAATTACATCATTATTAACATTTGTGAAATCTGTGGCAGAATTCTATACAATTGTCCAGCATCTTTAACCTTATCTGTAAAATTGTTTGATGAGGACGAGTTATTCTCAATATATGTATTTGTGCATTTGGTGTAACGAATATGTGAAGCAATAAGCAGGTGTTCCAATTCTTAACTAAATGCTTGTGACAAGCAGCTTTGCAATGCCTGCAATATTGTTGATCGCAAGTGAGGAACAGTGATATAGTCGAACAGAGACAAAAGATCACAAGGCAGAGCTATAATCCGATTGAACCACACAACTCAGTCTCAAATATATTAGGTTTGGGTTTGACTACATCATATTTACCAATAACAACCTGGAGATGCTATTAATATAATGCTTGAAAACATCACATAATACAACTAGAAGTTGATAATTGATCACACGATCATATTATGCCAGGACCACTATCACGAGTCCGATAACCACAGCAAGAAGAGACGACAACTAATGTCAAGATAATTGATCCCTGAGCAACTGGTTGTGGATCGGAGAAACAAAGCACCGTGCCAATAAGTTTAGTCCACCATGTCAAAAGTTTCAAGCCTCATGATGGAAAAGCAAACAATAGTTAGCTGATCCACAATCATAAATATGTAAAGCTTCATGATGGCCACAAAATTTGAAATTGCTATACAGAAGCACTTAATGCGGGTGCGTTTCACCCAGTGAAAGCCTTCCATTATTAGGCTGTAACTGCTGCTCAAGCAGCATTATCGCTTCCCATGGCATGAACCATCAGAAAACGAATGGTAACAGGTCCAAATTGACTTGCTACTCTCAAAAAAAGAAAAAAAACAGAAAAATAAGTAAAGATTCATACCTTGCTGACGATATTGTTGGAGAGCCAATCCAGTCCCTCGTACAAACCTTCACCAGATGTAGCACATGTGCTCTGTATGTACCTGTAGACATATCACACATTTGTTGGTCAATGAGCTAAACACAAGCCAAAATCTCTTTCTCCTATAAAAGAAGAGATGAAGTATAATTGTATAAACATGCTTTGCCGTTGAATTAAAAACAGAACAAAAACAATAAGGAAGAACAAATAAAATAAAATTCATGTCGCAATTGCAGGGATGAGAAGACAGCAATGACAATTAAGTCAGATTTATGTAGGTTGGACAATTGGCGATAAAACAAGAGAAATTTTTTCTAGGTGCCCTGCTGTCCACCTATAATTTCAAAGAATCCGATAATTTTAAGAAGACAGTAAAAGAAGATGGAGCATTTGGTTATGGTTAGTTGTTTCCAAATAAAAGGCTAGATGATTGGTTACTATTGGCTATTAGCAGACGAAGTAATAGGTCAGTTGGAGATAATAATAATAATAATGAGGTTTAAAGGATTTGAAAAATAAGATAATAGAGTAGAAAGATGACATGGCTGCACGAAATGTTTGGCCGTAAATGGTATGAAACACATTTTAAAATTATTATAAGAAAAACATGGAATTTCTCAGTCTTGACTACAAATCTTTGCTTAGGGAGAAAGAGATATACCAGTGTCGTTGACGCAGGGAATGGAGGCCAAGCTTATCTGTAATTTCAGCTGCATTCATTGCATTTGGAAGATCTTGTTTATTTGCAAACACAAGCAACACAGCATCACGTAACTCGTCCTGCATAAAAACGAAAGAAATTCAGTGAATAGATTCAAATTAAGCATAAAATTAACTTAGAAAAAACATTTTAAAAAGAAACCATCATCAATTTGATGTTTTAGTTTCCACTAAACAACTATTGATCCTAATCTTCAACGAAATTGATGAAAAGAAACCAAACCTCAAAGGAACAGCAAACATTGAGAAAGCAAGTTTCTCTCTTTTTTTTTTCTTTTCTTGTAGCAAACATCACTTGGCAAAACAATCCTAAAAAGCCATTCAGTCGGAACTGGACACTTCAGCTGAAGGCCTGAACCCAACAGATTTGAACATCAAAATGGAAGAGGATCACTATTCTTCTCCAATCCTCACCTGCCACTATGTAATTATTATTTTTCTGGATCTTGATGCTTCAACAATTCCAACTAACATCTTTCCTTTGTACCCTTAATGTTACCCGACAATCACCCTAAGTTGCTTCTGCCTTTTGGTCTTTTATTGACTAACTATGGTCATAATCAAATGGACAAAAACATAAAATAGAGGATTTTTGGTCAAAGTTAAGTGTTGAACATACACTAGCATAAAAATGTGCATGAAAACACAATTATGTTCAATTATCAGACTGTACTTGATTGTCATTCAGCTCAGCTATGCCGAATTAGAGGAATCATAATGGTTATCAACAAACCAAATCAACTCACCTCATTTAGCATCCTATGCAGTTCATCCCTTGCCTCAATAATACGATCTCTGTCATTGCTGTCGACAACAAAAATAAGGCCCTGGGTGTTCTGGAAGTAGTGCCTCCATAGAGGTCTGATCTGTTGCAATAAAACATCAAATTGGTAAAATCAACAATGGCAAGTGACAAACAACCTCCAACATCTTCACATGCCGTTAGCACAAATAAGATCTACCTACCTTATCTTGACCACCAACATCCCAAACGGTGAAACTAATGTTCTTGTACTCTACAGTCTCCACATTAAATCCTGAATTAAAGAAGCATATAACATAACAACACAAGGAAGACCATTTAAAATTAAGAAAAATTGTGCGATTTGGAAAAAAAAAGCCCCAAAAAGTATGAATCTGCCTGCACGACTGAATTGTTGTCCTGAAAACTTATGAAGATAAATAAGTCAAACCCACCAAATGAAAGGTTCATGCAAACTATAAATAATAACCTAAACCATTTCTAACAGATATAGACTAATAGCTTCAAAAATATGTAAAAATCCTTCGACTAAAATAATGTCATACATCCTAAAAATATTGGAGGGAAATTTTGAGTAATGTTAATTTGCATCCCCACTCTTATGTGGAAGGGCCATATAAAGTTTGGAATACATAAGATGCCATTAAAGTGCAGATTGAGCCTTACTAGTCAAAATGAAAATAATAAGACACTTGGAAAATTTGAAGTTGTCTCAATAGATACCTCAAACTATATTTTTTTTATGTTCACTGGATGTTTTTAATTAAGCAGCACGATTATTGCCTTTCATATAACAGATGAACTTGAACTAAAAGCAAGAAAATTAGAAAGGAAAAAAGAAGATGGAGAAGATGACAAAATTCATTATTTAAAGGATCATATAAGAAGTACAAACCAGTTTTAACAATTGATACCAATATTTCTTTCAGAACATAGCAAGGACAATATCAAATTGATCTCCAGCGTAACTCTGAAAAACATTTGTTTCACTTCAGCTTGTCAGTAGCCAACAGAAAGCCTTAAGCTTGCTGTCACATAAAGGGACCAGCACGCAACCGGCATAATAATAACATTCCACAATTCGCAATATATGGATTTAAGGGAGGGAAGAAATGCATGCTTCATCGTAGAACGAGTGCGTTTTCCTTAAAACGATTCCCCAAAAACAAGTGCTTTCAACTAATACAGAGAACACAAGATCGGATTTGGAAAGGAAGAAAATATGTGCTGACCTATAGTGGGGATGGTAGTGACTATTTCTCCGAGCTTGAGCTTGTACAAGATCGTCGTTTTACCAGCCGCATCAAGCCCGACCATCAAGATCCTCATCTCCTTCTTCGAGAAGAGCCGGCTAAATAACCTCGTAAAGGTGAGCCCCATCTTGTTCACCGCTGATGAAGATACAACCCACACAGATCAAAAGACACACAAACATACATATCTAAAACAATCCGAAGGATCGACAATGAAACCCTAAATCGAAACAACCAATCCGCAATTGAAATCAAGCAACAAAAGGAGTGATCGTTGGGTTCAGCGACAAAACCACTCACAAAATTATCGATGAGAATACAAATTGGAAACGATCAAATCCACGAGAAGGAAGAGGACCAGTCGAATTGGAAAGGAGAGAAGAACCACCGAACGATTTCTCAGGCGACTCTTCTCGCCTCTCGATGAGAAGGACGAGAGCGGAGGCCGCGGGCTCCCTCAGCGGTCACCATTTTATAGTGGGGGAACGGGATGACAGCGGCCGCGTCTAACCCACGCACACCGACGGCGCCACCGTGGCCTGTCGGCTCGATCGGCCCCACGTGGGACCCACTAAAAGTCGAAATTAGTGACAGGGTCCGTCCCCACTCCGTGCAATTAATGTGGTCCGTCCGATCTCGTTCTAATTAAACCGGGGACCGTCACATCCAACCCGGTTCGACCAAGTTCTGACGATGAGATACGCGACGCAATGTTAACCCGCGGAACATTGCTGCCATGCGAACGATGTGGGACCCCAGATGGCCGCCAATTGCCAAGCAGGTAGGAATATTTTACGTACACAGGTGGATAGAGTTTCAATTCCAGTCGGCGGTTCTCACGAACGGTTCAAACTCGAACCATTTTGCCCATATTATCATTTAACAGAAAAATGTTAATAGTTAAAGAGTTTTATTTTAAATCCGTAAAAGATGGAATTAAAATCTTTTAGAAATATAAGCACATAAATTTAGAAATAGAATTATTTGGACTGTGAGCTATTCTCTTCTCAATAAAGGAGGAATTAATGACCACTTAAAAAATAATATAAAAGGATGAAGATCGAGAAAACAGTACACCAAAAAAAAAAAGCAACTCTTGATGATCTCGTTAAGAACACGTAGATACTAAGAGCTGCATATTGCCAACGAGAAACGAGATAATAGGAAATCAAGATAACCTAATTTGAGCATTCCTACAGTAAATACCTCAAACGCTTCCTATGATCTCCCTTCCTTCCTAAGCACCAAGCAGCGACTTACTCGACCACTCTGCAACTCTGCGTCGCCAACCTCTGCAACTGCTGCAACCCCGTTGTTCTCGATCGACCTCTTCTTCTCTTCTCCCTTCCGCTCGACCACCACCTTCTGCAACCCAGTCAGCCTCGAAGACCGACGCAATAAGGCCAGACGGCGGGGGTTTGTTGGCAATCTCAACCGCCGGATCCATGCACGCCCTCAAAGCGATCGAGCCTTCTGAGATCGCCGTCCTCCCAAGGATGTTCGCAGGCCACGGCGGCGAAGGCGGCGCCTTTATAAACAAGTGCGCCGAGCCGGGGGAAGAGCGAGTAGGGGCGCAGTGTCCACGTCGCCGACGACGCAGGCGCTCAGGCCGACGAGCTCCTCCGCTAGGAACTTGAAGGGAAGCTGATGGTGGGCTTGAAACCTTCCAAACCTCGACAACGGGTAGTGCCAGACTCCCAGCGACCACCGCCGCCGGCTGGCGCGCGGAACAGGGGAGGGGATTTTGCCGCGTGAGAACGGCGCGTAAATCAAGAAACTCCCATCAAGCGTCGTTGTTGTAAATGTACGATATATGGACCGGCCGGTTCGGTGCAACGAGTCACGTCGAACCTGAAAACGACCCAAAATCAATACATGGTAAAAAAAAAAACCACGTTTTTTTATATTTGCTTAATATTTTTGTTTCTTGGATTTTAAAGACAGTGCTGATGGAGATGCGGTAAGATAAAGACATCAATACCAAGGTTTCCCATTTCGAATGGGATTACATATTTATAGGCTTCAGTGAATTCTCAAGGCATACACACACTCTCTCTCCCTCTTTCTCTCTCCTCG